ACTACTAACATGGGCAACATCATTCCCACACACTTTTATCTTTCTTGGTGACTTCAATCTACATATTAACTGGACCCTAAATGAATGTACAGCGGAACCCATACATGCAACCTTCTACAATCTTGTAACAAATCTAGGACTAGAACAACTAGTAACCAACAATACTAGACTAAACAACTGCCTCAATCTCATCTTCTGCAATAGTTTGAATTCAATTTACCGAATACAAATTAAAGAACTCTTTTCCAACAGTGGCCACAACATGATTGACTTTTGTCTCAACATACGTCTACACAAAAATCATCACAACAACGTGATCCCCAATTATAACTTCAAACAAGGCAACTATGATCTTATACACAATGATCTCTCATCCCTTGATTGGCAATTTCTATTCACGGGATGCAATGCTGTTGAAGACCAAGACAACATATTTTTACTTGAAGTCAAAAGAGTCATCAATCTATATGTACCAATAACAACTCCCCAAACTAGAAAAAATTGATTACCCATAACAATAAGGAAACTTAAATCCAAAAAGAGATCACTTTGGCGGAAAAACAAATCTGGTCATGTTGCCAACTTCAAAAGCCGATACAAAAATTTATGCCACCAGATAAAGACAGAATGCTCCAACTATCACATTAAACAAGAAGAAAACCTTCTACGCACCAATTCCACCTGCGCTTTCTACAATTTTGTAAACAACAAAAAGACTCAAGGTCCATCCCACCCCTGAAGGGGCCAAATGATAAAAAGACTGCAACGACGATACCATTAAAGCCAAACTCTTTAACACATTCTTTGGCTCAGTATTTGTAAACAGCAATGGATCATGCCCAGTATTTCCTAGTCGAACCACACGCAACTACAATGATCTAATACATATCGATTTTATAGGAGAAATGTTGAAAAAGCACTACGCAATCTATTGGTCAGGATGGAATATGTGCCTACTTCTTAAAAAAGCTATCCACTGCCATAGCTGAACCTATAAGCATAATCTTTGAAAAATCTTTCAGGACCAGCTCCTTGCCTAACCTATGGTCACAAGCCACGGTCATCGCCAACTTCAAAAAGGGAGACCCCAGCCTATTTGAAAATTACAGACCAATCTCTTTATGCTGTGTCACCTGTAAAGTCATGGAATCAATTATCAACTAATCCATTATCCTCCACTTAGAATCAAACAACCTACTATCTAATAAACAATTTGGTTTCAGGAAAAAACTATCCTGTAATCTGCAACTCTTACATGGCAAAAACATATGAATTGTACAACTCGATCAGGGCAAAGCAATAGAAGCCTTTGATTCAGTGGTACACGACAAACTAATACTAAAACTAAAATCTTATGGTATCTCTGGACACCTGCATAACTGGATAGAAGCATTCCTGTTAAACAGACTACAAATAGTCAAAATTGGGAGCGTCCTGTCAAATACTGTACCTGTCAACAGTGATATCCCCCAAGGCAGTGTTCTAGGACCAACTCTCTTCATACTCTACATAAATGACCTCTGTGATCATATTAAGAGCAACTGTGTTCTCTTTGCTGATGACGTTAAGCTATTCAACACCACCAACAATACTGCTACCTTTCAAAAAGACCTCAACTATGTATCAGAATGGTCAAACAAATGGCAACTTCAAATCTCAACAAATTGGCTAAAAAAATCAGAAAATAAAAAAGAAGGTGAACAGTCAAGACCTTGTTGATGATCCAAACTCTGTCAAGGACCTTTGAATTCTCATCTCTAATGATGCAACTGCTAGAGACCACTGTAACTACATAGCCAAAAAGGCATTAAGAGTTGTTAACCTAATCCTACGTAGTTTTTTCTCTGGTAATATCACACTACTAACTAGAGCATACAAAACATTGGCTCGACCAATACTCGAACACAGCTCATCAGTCTGAAACCCGCATTACATATCTGATATTAATACAGTTGAGAAAGTCCAGAAATGTTTCACAAGAAGAGTTCTCCACTCTTCTACTCGTTGCAGAATACCTTATACCACCAGACTTGAAATTCTAGACCTAGAAAACCTAGAACTACGCCATCTTCGGTCCGATCTAAGTATAGTATATAAAATTATATATTGCAATGTCCTACCTGTCAATGAATACTTCAGCTTCAACCATAACAATACAAGAACACACAATAGATACAAACTCAAGGCTAATCGCACCAAACTTGATTGCAAGAAATACGACTTCAACAACAGAGTGGTCAATGTCTGGAACGCTCTACCTGACTGTGGTTTCTTCCCCAAACCCCCAAAACTTTAACCTTAGACTGTCTACATTTGACCTCATCCCTTTCCTAAGAGGTCTGTACGGGGCGTGCATAAGCGCACCAACTTGCCTACTGTCCCTGTCCTATTGTTTCTTTTATTTTTCTTATATCAATCCATTTCATGTATTCATAACTATATTCTTATATCTATTCTCTGGTAAGCAATTGACAAATCAAATTAAATAAAAAAATAAAATATACAGTAAATAAATAAATAAATAAAAAATTCCAAGGACCTGTTTGGGGGTTTGATTAAGCTCCTGTAGAACTCTTGCTTTAACTCTTGTTGCTTGGTGGAGCGGGGCAGCACATTTAGTGACCATACAAATTTATAACAGCACTGAAAAAAGTGTGTTATGACCATTTTTCACACTTATAACTATTGCTGCATCCCCATGTTCCCGTGATCAATATTCAAATGTTTGGCAACTGATTCATATTCATGACTATTTATCCCAGGGTCACCTGATCACTTTTTGCCATCTGCTGACAAGCAAAATCAATAGGGAAACCAGATTCACTTAACATCTGTTACTAATTTAATAACTGCAGTGATTCACTTAACAACTGACAAAGGTCATAAAATGGGGGGAACTCACTTAACATCTGTCTTGTTTAAGAACATACATTTTGGGTTCAATTATGGTCGAGGACTACCTGTATTGGAAATACGGAATGATGAAAGTTATAGAAAAAGTCAATTGCAATTACATAGGATATATATTTAAAAGTAAGATTAGGAAAGAATTAATATATTTGGGAAGTAGCATAGCAGTGTTAATATTTATATATCTGGAACATTCTGCCCTTACCCTATCCAGGCATAGGCCATTTTAACAGAATAACAGAGTTGGAAAGGACATTGGAGGTCTTCTAGTCCAATGCGTGCTGCTCAGGCAGAAAATCTCTACCATTTCAGACAAATCGCTGTGCAATGAATTTTATAAACCAAGTTATTTGAGCAGATTACTGTATGACACTGAGTCTCTGGTTTGAGATCAGAACCCAGGGACAAATGATGCAGCTTGATTTTGATGTAATTCTGGTGCCTTTGGTGGTTTCTATCAGATCATCAAATGAAAATCCATCTATGACATGTATGTTGTATTTATTTAGCTTATATACCTTACAAAGGCAATTAGAAACAAATATTCTCACTTATTAAAAACTGTGAATTGCACTTAATCTTCATCCTGCAATCTCAATTGCTACCTATAAAAACCTCATACAAAGTAAATTGTAAACTATCATAATATTGCCAGGCAAAATAAGTAAATGTACTCAAATCTTTATAAGAATCCAGGAGGCTTTGAGGCTAGTAATAAAATAGAGCATTTGAATGTATGACCTAAAAAGAACAAAATCAAGAGGCAGGAGAGTGACATCTTGGTTTGTAAGTGCTGAATGTTTATTGTATCAGTATTGTGTCTTATATTAAATATTATTACTCAGAGGATTGCAGTAAAATCAGAGGATTGCAGTAAAATTTGGATAAGGAAAAAGTAAACCCATTAAATTTTTGAAGATTTTTTTAAAGTAAAAGAATAAAATTCTGCGCCTCCTGTTTTTACATCAGGTTGTCCAGCATGGACAGCATATTATAGCATGGATGGTCTTCTGTCATTTTGGAGAAGAAAAACTAAATCAGTTCAGATTACAAGACAGTTTTGATTAATGATAAGGAAGAATATGTTGACTAATTCAAGCTGTTTAACAGTAAAACAGGAAGGTCTTTGCTTTGAAAAATATTTTTTTTCTTAATTAGAAACCGTTCTTACCCAGTACTTCTGGAAACCAATGTGATACTTAGTCCTTTAAATACTCTGAAAATACCTTTCTGAGTACCCACTTATCCCTCTCCTGTTTAATGCATTCTTCATTAACTACTTTCTTCAGAAAACCAAATTGATGATCACTTGAAAGTTATAAAAGAACTTACTGTATCCTTTAATTTTCAAACTGAATGTGTGTTGTATATGAAATTTGTAGCTCTAAAAGGGTCCTTCCTGCTTGCTGCTGTCCATAAGGAATCCTGGGTTGCCTTGACAGTCATTTTTACTTTTTAATTCCCTTGTTCCATAGTTCTGAATGTGATAGAACTTAATTTGTAGGATCCATTTTCTTCCTTCCTTCCTTCCTTCCTTCCTTCCTTCCTTCCTTCCTTGGAATATTGTATGTATGTACTGTATATATGAATGATATGGTTGGAAAATTCAAAAGATTATATTTTACTCTGCCTCCTCTTTAGCTAATATTTAGTTACTATTTGGGCTCAAGAACAATTTGTACTTTTCATTCAGATTAGAACAACTTGTCTACTAGATCAAGAAATTAAATTATTTAAAGATCAGATATAAATAATGCATAACTAGAGTGAAGGCAGTATGTAGAAACAAGGTAATATTTTACTAAGAGTGGTACTTTAAAAAGATCAGCCATTAAATGTGTAAGTCCATATTCTGTGATACTTCGTGAAAATAAGGATGGTGTGTTTTTCATATACATTAAATTTTGCTTCAAGACTATTTATTTATTGGTATAGGAAATCTATAAATTTCTATAATTCCCTGTAGTATGATTTGATGCCATGTAAAAAGTTTAGTATAGGAATTAGAATAAATTTAAGATAAATTAAGCTTTGCATAAAATTTGATAATCTTGGTGCTATGATATAATTGAGAGCTCTTTTCTTTTTAGACCTTTGCAAAGAGAACCTGTCAATGAATGGAATACTTTGGAGATTGAAAGTTGCTTCTTCTCAGATCAACTTCCAGATAAATCAAAAATACCAGACCTTATAAAAAAAGTAAGTTGATAGAAAATGCTTGAAAAATAATAAAATGTAAATGCAAAATTATAAACGGAAAGCCTTTAGAATTCACTACATCTCTGGAACCCATTGCATTCCTTTATGTAAGTTAGCCATGCAATTTAAATGAATATTGTAATTAACAATACAGTTATCAAATTCTAATTTTCCATAAGTTTTTAAATTGCAATTTTATGGACATGCCCATCTTGCTTCCTTGGGAAAAATACACAGCTTTCTTATAGGATGTTCTTACAACTTTCTGTCTAATCTTGCATCTTGTTATCCAAGTTATAAAGTAATCTAATCCTGTTTACCTTTTTCAAAGCAGCCAAGATGAGTTAGGTCCTGCCATCCAATTGAGCAGTAAAATTGGATTGTTGTGCAACAAACCCTGCCCATTTTTATACCAGAAAATGCAGTGGATTGTATCTACAAAAGAGGAAATAATGTGATGGACTACTGTGAAGCAGCAGTTTTCCAGGAAGGAAGGAGTATATTCCAAGGAGGGGGAGACAAAAGACAACACAGACAATAACTAGTTTGGAGAAAGAGGATGAAATTTAGGTTAGCCATTCTCTAGAATATTCCAGAGTACAATAATTAGGGTTAGATCAGTATAGTTTAGTCTGATAAGATTCTGTCTATGTGGTGCAAGTTTAATAGGTTTAATAAAAGTTAAAATGATGCAATTGATTTATAATATCTTAGACTTGGAGTTCAGATTATCCTGTAAAGGAAGCAGAATATTTTATAGATGAATTATATAAACAACTTGCTTGGCAGACTTTCCTAACTTTTCTAAAACAGGTTCTTTTTTCTTGGCTCTTTTCTTGAATTGTTGGAATCATTTGAGACAGCTCAGTTCATCCTGAAATGCCTCATGCTTATTCAGTGTGCATTGGAAAGCAATGAATAGAAAGAGCAATTGCCACACCCTTGTGCTGGTAGTTGCAGACATTTATTTCCAAGGCTGTTAAGAGTACAATCTGTTACAACAGTATGAGTTGAAGATCCATTTTAACTGAGGGAAAAAGATAATAGTTGCTGGTGTGTGTGTGTGTGTGTGTGTGTGTGTGTGTGTGTTTTATAGTGAATACAGATCAGAGATATGTATCAACAAAGGAGAAATACTTAAACTGAAGTGATCTTTCAGCCACATTGCTTTTGTTTTTATTGTTTTACCAAAATATTTGGTTAAATATTTTAATTTAACATTTTCTTTCTAAGAGGAAACTAATATTGCATATACTTAAGCATTAATAGTATCATAAAAGTGAATATGATTAAGACTATTGGTATTAGTACATTGAACCTATTTTCAGTATGCTGATATTTTAAATTAACTTAAAAATATTATTTCAAATAATGAAATCTAAAGTGTTTTAATTGCTTAAGTATAACTGTCCAAGATCATAATGTAATACAATAACACTATTTGTGTCTTTATTTCTTTAATAGTTTTAAGTATTATAAAACTTCAATTCAATTTCAGTTAAAAAACAATCGCATAATACTCTAATTTAAAACTTAAATTAGAAGAGTTAAAATGATAATATTCTAATACATTACAGTACAGATAGTCTTTGAGTTATAACGATAATGCCTGCCTATTACTGTTGCAAGTCAGCCCATTACAATCTGAGTTGTGACAAATGTTAAATGGATTGCTGCAAATAACACTCTGCTGTCTCCAGTACAATTGTTAAAAGCACATGTGGGTCATTAAGTGGAGTATGAGGTGAATTAGGGATGGGGGAAATTCTGGACACCTAATGCAGGCACAGGCCCATGGCATTTCCAATCCTGAGATGCCCAATGCTCTGCTTCCTGTTCGTTGGAATCCCACATGTCCTTCCCCATTGATCACTCCCTTACCTTTTAATGTAAACCTTGTTCTGGAAGCTCTGCCATATTTGGAATGAAAGCAAGCTATTCTGTCCCTTGGTGTCCCTAGACTGTGTCGGAAACCGTTTTCAGAATAGCTAAAATGAATTGTGGGCCCTTCAAAATTTTACTTACTTCCAGAAGCAAAAGAGGAACAACCTAGGAAAAGGGAGCTCGTTCTTTCCCAGTCCTACTGCTGACTTGCATGCATGCCCACTCCACTTATCTTGTCAGCGAAAAACACTGGGCAAGGAAAATACTGGGCATGCCTACCTTTTTTGTTTTTACCATTGTCTATCCTCCTGCCAATTTCCTTTTGCCTTTCTGAAGAAAAATAGAAACCAGTTATCTAGCCTTTCAGAGCTTTCTCTGAAAGCCAGCTGACTGGAGCAGAAAGTTGTGAGAGCAATCACCATTTCCTATAGAAAATGGTGTCTGCTTCCAGGAGGCATGCAAAGCAGGCCTAAGCACTTCAGAGTCCTGAGAAGGTTGGGTGGGGGAGAGCAGATGAACATTGTGGCATCACCTTGGTCAATTGTAAGGGTGAATGACTGTGGGGAACTGCAATTGTCATAACTTTGAAACAGAATTGTATGCAATCTGGGGGCATCCTTTGTAACTTTGAACATTTATTAAATGACTTGTCTTATTTCAAGGAATACCTGAAAAATACTTTTTCAAAGTATTCCTAAGTTTCTGTTTTTTAAATTAAGTGTCCAGAAATCAATGTATTTATTGAACAACGTAGGTACATAAAATAAAGAAAATAATGGACAGGAATGCTACTACAATATATAGCATGACATTTTGAAAACATTTGTAAAATAAAAGAATTGTGGACATTTTCCTTGGATATGATGATGTGAAAACAAACATATGCTCTTGGCTATTTTTTCAAAGTGCATATGTTCATTTTTACTTCATGTTTTGCATTGAAATAAGAGCTTTGGGAATATAACAAAAGCATTTCATGATATGCCCAGAAGATATGTTGATTTTAGCCTATTTTCCTTGTGACTTTCTAGAAAGTTTATCTTTCTGGCTAAACTGAAAATAGTTGTGGAAAAAGACTATAGTGCTTGAACCCAGCATTCCAGAAATTGTCTGAAGAACAGAGATTTGAAAGTAACACTTGATTCCCGCTTGTTTTTCAATTCAGGAATGAAGTGTTAGTTTCAAATCTGTGTTGATATTTTGTATATGCATATATGATTTGTTCAATATACTTTGCATACTTCAAAATATAGTGCTTGAAAACAGATAAAGATTCATTGTAACATTTTTAGATTAAAAATAAGTCAAAATCACAAGTTTATCCTCTTTTTTAATTCTCTGATCTAGTAAATCCATTATATGTTATACATTATCCTGTGCAGCATTTTAGATTCATTGACCAGGGGATATTTTGAAGAGGAAAAAAATGAATATAGTAATTAATTGCAACATCTTAAAGTTGCTGTGCATTTTCCCAAAATTGTGTTATCTTCATGCCTTGAAGCAAATTTTGAATCCAAAGTAATGCACAGTCCTAAAATAAAACCCACATGTGTGATAATGCTTGAAGGTTATAAGGAATAAGTTACATTAACTTCCAGATTAAAGGAAGTTTTATTTCTTTCTAATTAGCCCAACTTGCAATGACTCCAAATATTAGCACAACTCCTGGCTGCCTGGTTACCTGCTGGCTTGGATGGTTGATTAATTGGTATGAAGTTGGGCCAAACTCAATATTAGTTAATATGAATAGTTGCCATCCATTTCAACTTTTCCTGGGACATTCCAGTAGTATCTCTGATCCTGACCATCTTGCCTCCCTTTGTTCTCCCTTCTATTTTTTCAACCTAGTCAAATATTGTCATTTTTTCAATTCATCATTCACTTCCATTACGTACCCAAATATGTGAGCTTATGCCTGTCAATTATTGCCATACAGTTTCATAAACATATATTATTTAATTTTTTTGTTCAACTTGTGTATTTGATACTAATGACTCATGATCTGTTCTACAGTCTGCACCTGGAAGTACCCAGTTTAATAGGTAATGTCCTGCTTCCCATTTCCTTTTATGTATTTATTTACTCTTTCATTCTAATAGTAAACTGTCCATTGATGCAGAACCTCTATTTATTAATTTATACTTATTTATTTACACTTATTTGTATCGATTCTACACACTTTATAATTGTAAAACAATAAAATAAATAAACCAATTAATACAAGACCATTATAAAAACATGTTCATCAAGCCCCATTAAAGTGCAGTCTGCCTACATGGCAATCTCCTCTGAGAGCTCCCTGAAAAAATGAAGCCTTAATTGTAATTAAGGGAGAGTAGAGAGTGGAACAAACTTTACAGAATCAAAAGTACAATTCCAGAAGCGCTTATATATAGTTTTCAGTACTTGGGACCTGGAGAATTTTCCCTCATTATGTATGTGTATTTATGTATGTATGTATGTATGTCACTTTGCCATAGCAATTAACCCAAATCAGCCAGCCACATTTTGTGCCAGCTATGGCTTGTGAGTTGTCTTCAAGGGGAGCTTCATTTAAGGTAGTCTAAGCAGGAAATGACACAGTAGTGAGTCACTGCAGTTTACAACTGGTGAATCACTAAAGTTGGCTACAAGCCTCTGGCTTTGATTTAGGTTATTTAAAACAGATGCTGGAAATGAAAATCAATTAACTTCACAAAATTCTACTAATTCTATTTCATATATTATTGCATTTTTTTGCTCAAAATCTTACTTAAATTCCACATTCTTTTTCTTCAGGGTTTATCATTTTAATAATCCATTAATAGTAGAGGGTCATTAAGTTGCATTTATAATATTATTTATATATTTATTTGCCCAATATATATATAGCGGCCCATCTCACCAAACAAGTGACTCTGGATGGTGTTTTCAGCTTTTTCTGAAGAAAAGAAATAAACTATAAATGTGATTTATAATTTAAAGATTTAAAAGGGTAACTTATGGAAAGAAGCAAAATATGATATAATCTTAGAAAAACAAACTAAAACTAAAATGTATCTATAACCACCTTAAAGAAGATCAGAAGCAAATTGTTATAATCTTTTTTCAGTTATTTTTTTCTATTTTTGTCC